ACATCAGATTTCTCTAATTGGTCTTCTAAAGGGTCTTTATAATCACTTGCGCCTGTGTATACGGTGAAATTTAAACCAGAATCGGTTTCACAATCACAAAGAATACATAGTTTTATACCAAATCTATGTTTTTTGGATTATATATATTGTTTGAAAGACAAATGGCCTTTCCATAAAAGTAAAATTTCATCAATTGCCAAGTTAGAAAAAGGAATAAGATCATCTTTAAAAATTTTTTGAACTTCAGATATCACCATTTATATTTTATAAAGTTTGTCACCATGGACTTGTTGGCTATTTTTACAAAAATGAATTAATCATCGAAGAAGTAACAAATACCTATTTCTACTCATTAATTTACCAAATATATTTTGATTTAGAAGTTCATTAGTTGACCAGTAGTTCTGGATTTCTAATGTTTTATTCCTAGCCATCAACATATTGATGGATAAAAATATATACATTTCATAAATTGATGTATTCTTTCATTTTACCAATCCGGAGTACTCTGAAGATGTTGGTTGTTGTTGTGTATATTGGTTGGTTTTATAAACAATGTTTCCCTTTGGTTTTGGCGTTATAAATGCTTCAAAAAAGTCCAACACTGGAAAATTTTCATTCATATCATATTCTTTTTCCTGTATTCCAACCTAAAATATTAGATTTCATGAAAATAAAATTACAGTTATTGAAAGTACTTCACTTTAGAAATGTAATTGCATGATTTTGATTAAAGGAATTGATTTTTGGATCATAATTATCAACTGTCTTTCTCAAATTTCAGTGGACCAAATGGTTTTGAAGGTAAAGACACCCTTCTTTTAAGTACATTTGCAGTGCATATTTCTGTAACTGGTTGACTAGTAGATGATTCTAAAATCGATTGAGATCTAAATAAAAAAAAATAAAATAATTTATATACCTTCCTAGAATACCTCCAAACAAAATTAAATAGTAAGACTTAATTTATTATAAATATATGTATAAATATTTATACTTCAATTATTAGCTTAGCAAGAATTTTTATCAATTATACAAATTATAAAGATGCATTGCTTACTATTTTCTTCTGCATCAATTTGAACATGTTCACCTAGTTGTGAAGATAAAACATTTATTGGAGAAATAGTAACTATACAATTTTAAATAAATAATAAATATTATACACTATAACACAGAAATTCTTATGAAATAATAAAACTTATTTCCATATTATTATTACGTATAATCTTACATAATTCCTCAAAATTATCAAATTCAAAATTGATTACACCTTCATCAGTCTCAATATTTTGTAATACTATAATACAAGGAAAACATTTTAGTACATAAACTGTTTTATACAATGCATTTTACATTTTGTTTATATAAATTTCCAATCTTACCTTGTTTTTGTGGTTCAATTTCAAAATCATCAAGACTTTCATCTGTTCCCTCAAAACCGAACTCATCTTCTGACTCAGAATTGGCGTAAAATTCGTTAAGTTCCTTTTCAATTTAAAATTCAGTTATATATTTTTAAGACATTTGATACATATAAGAAAAAAAAAATGATTTTGAATAAATTTTGCAATAAAAATTAGTAATATGAGTGTATAGAAATGACGTAGGTAACAACATGTAGGTAATCAAAACAATAATAACAACACAATATATGTGAATTCTAAAAATACAGGGAATATATTTTCAAAATGGTATTTATACATAATGAAAATACAAGGCACACAATAATATAGTTCATGACTTCAGTGTTTGAGAACCTCTGAGAGGTTGGAAAAAAATAAAACTTAATATCTCCTTGAGTATTTGTGATATCAAAATTCTGAAAATACCTTTGGATTCTGGAGAGCAAGTAGATCAGAACACAAACGTTAACATTTTTACTGTTTTTTTTCATTATAGGTTATATTTGATTACCCACTTATATGCAGGCATAGCACATACAAACTGTTTTCGTTGACAGCATATATGGAGGTATAGCAGTGAAAGGGTTAAACCCTGCAAACCTTGCAATTATTACCACCGAATTCTATAACTGGACTGTACGACATGAGTGATACTATACGCGTCAAGTTTTCCAGCTTCATGGGCGTCCCCAGACATTTTTCTAGGGGGGGGGGCAAAGTTAATTTAA